TAGAGTGGGGTCGGCACACCGCGGCCGTCTAAGAACACTTTAAGACTCTCTGACTACTTCTTTCCTCCTGACTCCCATCTCTTGACCCACCTCTTTGTCTTCAATCCTTGTCACCCGTCTCGCTTTGTACGCTTCGGTGACGGAAAATTGGATTATCTGTTCCTTCTGTGGCTAAGTGTTAAGCCTCAAGAGAGTGTTGCTAAGTCTGCACTGGGCCTTGCCTCTTAAGAAACCTGGAGTAGTATTTGGTACACATCTCCAGGTTCCATCTAAAAGTGCTAAAGCTCTCTCAGCTTCCATGCCATGGACAGGGGCGGCCTGTGCTCGAAGCAACTCATCAGCTGTTGGAGCCAAGAGACGTCCACCTGTGTACTTAGTAAGTTGTGTTTCCTACACGTGATCCAGGATTCCACTAATGAGCACTTTAACTACTTTCACCCTGTACTCGGTAAGCGTGGTACTGGTAGTCACAATGCTATCCACAACAGGATCTCCACTCTGAAATTGGACTGCTTAACACATCTGTGGAGAGGCGAAACATTTGTGTAAGCTTTCGCTGCTGTTCTACGTGGCCTGCAACTGGCATCGGCGCACGCCAAGAGCTGAAGGTCGGCCAGGCGATCATGTCATATACATACAGGTATGATGAGATGATGAATTCTCTCGTAGTCCAGGAAGGTGTGGATCCTGTCGATGTGCCTGCCAGGGTAGACCCCGTTTGCAAGGTCCCTCTTATAGAAACACCAGGAGTCCTTGCCAGGAGGGCAATACTAATGTTAGGGATGCTCATCCGTGGGGTGACTGATGGAGTGAGGCAAGAATGGCTGTTGTCACATCCTCGGCCGTTGTGTTAGAGCGGATGGCCCTGGTGTAATATATCATGTACACAGCTTCTTTATCTTATTCGCTGTGAGGCTGCCAGCTTTCTTTCACCCAAGAGTGATGCCTGAGGAAGAAAAAAAACCCAGCTTATGCGTCAACAAGTCATAGTTCTAAAATACAAAATACAAGCAGTTCATTAATTTTACTGTAAGTCTGAAACCATTATTTATGCCCACCTAGTCAACTGGTGCTCAGTCCAAGGTCCCACATACTCTGTGTCGATGCAGAAGCTTGACAAGTTACGTCTGCATGCAGTGCATAAACATGCCAGCCGCCGGCTCCTCAACACATAGTCTGCCAGTTGTTGGACCTGTGAACCCAGATAACAAATAATCAACAATACAAACTTAGAAGACTGTGGCTGACACTTCAGAATAAAAGACGTCAAAGTGTCAGTAAAGAACACACAACGTAGAAGATGGAGTTTTCCTGTGCCCATGACAGTTTTTATGCTGGTCTCCGGACTGTCTCTGTAAAGTTGATGTTGGAGATCGAGAAGAAAGTTCGTGCTGAGTACTCCTTCTTGACACTCAAGTTCTCTCAAGCCCACTTGTACGCAGGGATGCCAAATCTCCGGGTTTTTTTTAGTCTTTTTCCGTTTTTTTCCTACACTTGCAAAGGAAAGGGGAATGGACAACCTGTGTTTCGCGCGCTCATATATATGACCTTAGCAGTTGCGAGCGCCGTAAAACCCTGTACTACATACATACAAAGGGGAATGGTAAGAAAAATGTTTTTGTTTGCTCATTTAAAGATTTTACAAGGTTCTTTTTAGGTGAGGTGTGATGCTCCGCTCATTTTCCTTTTTTTTTTCTTTTCAAAAATCATTTAGCATCCCTGTGTACAGATCATTGGCATGACGGATATTGACCTGGCTGTGATTGTTGCAAATACCAATATATTTGTAGAACAAGCCAAAAAAATGGATCAGCAGCCACTGTGGTGAGGGGAATCCTAACACAGGGTCAGGTCCCCAAGGACCATGTCAGCGAAGATGTCTTTATGGGGAATGTCAGAATCTTCTTTATTGCTCTCGTCCTCTGAAAACTTCCTGTACGACACAACAAAGAAGTACTTTGAAGTCTTCTTCTTGACCTCAACCACCCTCCTGTAGTAGGCCAGATCGGTGCCGTCTTCCTCCTCCCACGTGTGGAGAAACAGAGTGCCGTTGAGAAGACTGGACTCCCTGGACAGATGAAATGTGGTGACGAAGTCTCTCAATTCATTAGACACTGCGAGGCTGTGGATGGGTTCCTTTCCATCCAGTGCCTTTCCAATCTTCCGGGACACAGCCTTCCGTTTGGTCCTGTCCCTGCCTTTAGCCGAGGCCTCACTACGCTCCGAAATCTCTCGTCTGACCCTGGCCCTTTCAAGGATAGCCGTACTCCGAGCGCGATACCCCTCCTTCAGAGCGAAAGAAACAAGTCTCTTCCTTTCCTCCGAACTCTTCCCGCCCGGCCACTGCAAGGTGTTGTTAAGTCAGGACTTCCACTTTTCCGCTGAGAAAGCCAGTGGTAGCGTTAGGGCACTGCACTGTTAGAGACCATCAAGCTAGGCCAGGGCCCGTTCAGACGCCATGTTGTGGGAAGGAGCCGACTGTCCTGTTTCCTCATTTTCGGGGTCTCCTTTCTCCCCGGTCTCCGTCAAGGTAGCATTCCAGTTGCCGCAAGACAACCTTCTGAACGGAAGAGAGTAGTTCCGTCAAGGTGGAAACCTGAAAGTCACGCTGCAAGGTTGTAAAACTGCACAAGGCAGAGAGGGTGATATCGTTTTGGACAATTAGCATGTTTCTGAAGACATCTTGCTGAGGCTGCAGTAGCTGTTCTGGCAGGCTAATCCATTCTTTCAGAGTCTCAGTACACTGTTTGATTCTGAGAACCTACAAAAGAAAGTCAATAAAACTACTATGTTGTACAGTTCCAGCTAGTATTTGAAGAAATGGGAAAATGAACTTCGCAAATTGCTTTTATTTTTCATTGTTTTGATAACGTATTTATTTAAAAATTCATTGTAAAAAAGACAGCACCTGAAAAGAGGCTGGGAAAAAATAAGATTTTTCACCAAAAAAAATAATGAAAACGAAGCCACTCTTTGTATTTGAGCTGAAGTATGTATTGAAAGGAATAAAAATGAAGTTCTTGCCATCTCGAGGTTGAATCTATTGGAAGTGTAGAACTCCTCATCCAGTGTCCAGTGATTGTTTTCGTGATTATGCCGAGACCCCACAATTGGACTGCTATTCTCTCTTGCCGCAAGTCATGTAGTACAGCAGAAGGAAAACTTCCAAGTGGTGCCGTGCTTCTTCCCACCCAGAGCTGCCAGGCAGGGCCTACTACTTGAAGTTTCAGCGCTTCGACAGACTTTTGGAGACTTGCAAGCTTGCTGCGCTCCTTCTGTAATTTGAATTTCGTTAGACGTAGCTTTGAGCTGGCAGCCTCAGCTCGCTGCAGCTGCTTTCGCAGCTCTGCCACCAGCTGCTTCAAGTCACCGATGCTCCGCTTGTCTCGCTGATTAATAACTCTTGTTGTGAATTTCTTTTTCAGTCCTGGCAGCCCTTTCTTCCCACTCTTAAGGTTTGATGTGTGGTCTTTGACCTTTGCCTGCAAAGCCAGGACAGATTCATTTTTGTGAACACAGTACAGGAATGGCAGGATCCATGGCGAAGTTTCTTTGGAGATGGCACACGAATTTGTCTGGGAGTGTGGTGCTGGGTGAGTGTTGGAGGGCTGGACTCCATTTGTTAATGTGGATAGTGTGGGGGTGAAAGTGTGAACAATAGAAAATAAAGTGAAATTCATCTTCAATTTCATGAGAGTTACACCTCTCACATAAGGGCGAATTAGTTAATTTCCACCGATTATTAGTGGAAGGCTATGAACTATGAGTTTTTAACAAAGCTATGATTCTTCGGTTCCAATATCGTGGGAGGTTGGTGATATATTCAGCTGTTTCTTGAAACAGAATTGTAAGAGAGAATAAATTATATGTATACTTTTGACAGACTTCTTCCTCTATGTTCTGCACAGAATGATCAACAAGTCTACTTTTTACTTAACTGAGAAAGAGTCTAGTGCTTCCAACATTTTGAGAAAACCAGGCATACAGGGTCAGTGTCAGTCACAAAAAGTTTTTTAAAATCCGAGGGTGTTGCGTCTGCAGCCATCGTAGTTTTGAAACTACTGTCCCCAGTAAACAGTGGTTCCAAGTGGAAATTGTGAGAGTTTTTCAATCAGGACGTGTTTCTTGTCTTTTTTATCTTTGAAGTGAAGGCACAGCACGTGGCGCGATTGTTTTCTGTTTGCGTATTCTCAAGGGTTTTTAAATGTTTGGGGGTTTTTTTTGCTGGTTTTTTTTTTTTCTTTCTCTCAAACGGTTTATTAAAATAATAGATCAAACACCAAACTGGCTCAACAAATTGATTCTACAGATTTTTGCCTCTGAAATTTAGATTTTCAATTGTAATAACTATAACTATAATATATATTATCATTGAAGTTTTCCTCACAAGTATCTGGAAGTTTTTTTTGTAAATCCCGGTAATATTTATTGGTTGGGCTGGCCAGAGTATGTTTTGTATTTACGTTTTTTAAAAGTACACAAAGTGTTGTATAGGGAACATCTCTTGTTGTGGTTAGGCCTTGTGCCATCACATGGAGTTAACCTGAGTTCAATTCCCAAATGGGAGATTTTTTTTTCCAGTACCTCGGTCTTCCTGCTGGGACTAATGTATCCCTATCAGCCTGGGTTGGCCCTGACAGGCAGGGTAAAAAAGTCTACCACTCTAAATTGTGTTGACGGGGGCGTTTTAAACGCCTACAATTTAAAAAATTTTTAATTCATTTTTTAAATGTGATATATCAGTGAAACGGATTCCAGTGCTGACATGATTGGGTCAGTAAAGAAGAATCTCGGCCAGTATACAAAGAATCTGCCGGTGTGAAGCATGTGTTGGGATGATTGGTTCCATCTTTGCTTATGTACCGGGTAAGAGAAGCTGGCAAGAGGAGTGGGAATTTAATAATCGGAAATACATGTCCGCTCTGTTGTTGTTGTATTTTGGTTTTTATTTTTTTATTTATTTTTTTAATAATTGAAAATGTTTAAAAATTTATTATCTTTGTTGCTTTGCTTTTATTTTATTGAATGAAAATTTTTTTTAATATTATTATTTTCGTTGTTTGAAAAAAATTCATTCATGACTGTGTGGACATTTCTGGGGACTCTATAAAGTTCAAGTTCCACTGCGATTGCAGGCCATGCGAAAGTTGTGGTACAGGTCGTCAGTATAACAATTATCACCCAGTGCCTACCGTTGTCGGGGGAAGCTCCACTTTGGTGCACTGGGGAGAGACACTGATGTTCCTTCAACTCCGCATTGCTAACTGCTGAAATTCTGTTTGAATTCTTCAGCAGGGGAAGAAAAAAAAGTTGTTCGTCCATGGTGTGGTGTCACGGTTCTGATAAGTGCTCATATTTCAGTCTTATTTTTTGTTTTGTTTTGTTTTTGTTTTTTGGATTTGTTTTTCCTCCCCTCCCAGTGTAGGTGTTTTTACGCCCCCATCTACTCCATTTAGACCATTTAGGAAGCGGGCTTCAACCCTACTTATCGGGGCCAACTCAGGCTGGAATAGATATATTACAATGTCCTATAAAAAAGACAAAGATACTTTTTATAACAATTTTTCTCCCCTGGGAATCAATCTCAGGTCTCCGGTGTGCTGCCACTTTCTTTTTCAACAAATTGAAGAGAGGAAAGTACTAATACTATTTACAGTGGGTAAGGTATATGATTTTCTTTTCAATTTTTTTTTCTTTTTAAATCGTGTTGAAAAAGATATGGTGCAGAGGTTTTACTCTTTCATCTTTGTTTTATATCAACTTGAGATATAATATATCCAACTTGTTGATGCTTCGCTGTTTATTTTTGTTGTGTTGAGCGAGTAGTCGGTACTGAAATAGGGCGTTGATTTCTCGTTGACTCAGAACTATTTTGTCCCAAGTGAAGAGGCAGATTTCAATTAAACTGAACTCTACAGGACTTCCGTCATGGGGATAAAAATCGTGAAAATGTAAGAACAGGACTATCTAGTAGTCTACGAAACAAAACAAATATGCCTACACAACATAACGGAAGGAAAAGTAATGTAATAAAAGTTTTTAGTCCCAACAGAAGTCTGGATTTTCTATAGACCATTGGAAAGCAGACCAGCAGCCTCTGCGATTGGTTGCCTTGACGACAAAAAAGATGTTGCTGTTGTTGGCTGACACTGTCGCAGAAAACAGAATGATACAAGGGGAGATAGACTGTCTTTGTGAGTCGACGCCAAGTATGTTCTTTGCCAATTGGTCATTCAGTGTCTGTTTTCTTTTGTTAACAGTTTATGTGTGTGTTAACATTTTCCGGGACAATAACAATTCATCAAATGTCTTTTTTTACTTGGTTGATATTAATTCTTTTACTGTATTAAACTAAACAATAGTGTTAATATTAATACAAACTGATAGTTGGGTTGTTTTTGTGGGTTTTTTTCTTTTTTCTATCCTCATACTGTACCATACTTGACTGGAAGAACTTCACTTTTATTGTTGCAACTCTTCTTCAACTGCTACTGGCAAGTTACCATCTGTTTCAGTGCTGAATGGGTCCAGTGCCCAGTCTGGAATTTCCAGTTAAAAAAATATCAGTAAATCTTGTCTTCATATTCGCATGCAAATCTCTGAGGTAGTTGTTATTATTTCTAGTTCCTCATCAGACATGCGCCCTTCTGTCAGTGTCTCCGCCAAGCTAGGAAACTGTAAATTCTCTTCTACCAATGTTTCGGCAGAACATTTCCAATTTCGACATGAAATTGTACTCTTTACTTTAATTAAAAAGGATTTTGTTTGTGCAGGAAGTTTTCTCATTCTGCAGGCATAACTTGCGAGGAATGCATCGTTTCCGTCAGGTTCTTTAGTGTCAGCCAAGTGGTGTTGGTAACACAGAAAAATTGACGGTGGTATCCTTTTACAAAACAAAACAAAAGAAAATAAAGGGAAATAACAATTATAAAAGCCGAAGCACTACCTGGCCCATATGACTTAAGTTAAGGTGACCTTTCTCCATTGGTGCTCCACCCATAAAAAACAAGTTTTTTTTGTTGTTTTTTTTTTTTACTAAACTTGATTCTTTATTTTCTCTCTCTCTATTTCACAGCTGGTGATGTCTATGATATGATCGGCAGTGCGCAACGTTTCTAGTAACTGGCGAAGGATACCAACTTAGCCCCCGAACCTGTTCCCGTAATAAATACAGTGCTGGTGCTGATGCTTGGAATTTATAACTATAAGAAGCAACAATGGTGCATGTACCGTACCGGTATCAGAAGTGGAAGGGACATACATGGTTTCAAAAACTTTTTTAAAAAAGTGATCGGATCACCCATGAAATTCAATGTGTTGTCAGAACATTTGTATCGCTTGTTGGCACAGACAATCTACACTGTTCAGGAGAAATTTAATAAATATTTTTTTAAAAGGGAAATGAGAAATGTTTTTGGAGAATTGTTTCTTCGTTGAAGTGTCTCGTTTGTGTTTTAGGCTTGGTTTAAATTGAAAGTGCTTGCAACAAAAAAATCTCTCTCTCTCTCTCTCTCTCTCTCTCACTCCAATCCAAAAACAAAGCAACATCTGTCCATGGGAGGTTGGCGGGTGCTCTGGTGTTGTTTGCTTCTTCTTTCCTATCAAACATCTATCGTCCTTATCTCTATCTCTCCTCCTTCTTGTGTGTGTTTGTTACTCTCTTGCAACACCTCTAGTCTTCGGCGCTTATGTGACCTTATTGTGTTGCAAGTGTCGTAAAACACTTACTAAAACTTGGTAAAACTGAAACAAAACATCTGTCCCTTCTGTTGGGATCAACGACGATCACACTCCTGCAGACTGAAAACCTTCGGGCCTCTCCAGAAGAGACGATGTTATTTTTACTCAATTACGCATCGGACACACGGCCCTGACACATAAATACCTCTGCAAGGAATTGTGAAGCCGTTCTGTGTCGGATGCGACACAGATTTTACCATTAGACACATTTTAACAGAATGTCTGGAATTCGGAGAGACCCGAAGGAAATATTTTTAAAAATGTTATAAATTACAAGATCTGTTTTCCGTCGTTGATCCCATGATCCCAACAGAATTCTGGATTTTATGAAGGCCATTGGCCTTTATATACTTTATGGAAAGTTGTAAATGGAACTGTTACAATTTTAAATGTTATTTAGGAAATTATTTTAAATTAAAAATTTATTTACATCAAATTTTTAGGCCGTAAAACCCTTACTATTCTAAGCAACACAAACTAAACTTGACTGACTGTAAACATAAAGTCCAAAACTATACACCTCTAGTCTGTGGGAAACACATACATTGGAATTACAAACCAACATCAAACTTCACAATATTAAGCCCAGACTGGCTCCACGAAAACCTTTGGGCCTCTCCAGTACTGATGAAGTCATTTTTACTCGATTACACATCAGACACGCGTCCCTGACACATAATAAAATGCCTCCTTCAGGGAGATGAGAAGCCTTTCTGTCTCGGATGGGACAGATTTTACCGTTAGACACATTTTTTAATAGAATGTCAAGACTTCAGAGGGGCCCGAAGAAAATATTTTTATTAATTCAATATATTCAACTTTTTTTTAAAATTTAAGAGAGCCTACATATTTAATTCGATTTAAAAAAAGGCAAAGAAAAAGATTGAGCCTACACATTTATTACTTCTATTCAATACAAGAGAAAAAAGACGGGGCCTACACATTTTTATGAATTCAATATTCAATTAAAAATAAAAATATGAGATAAAAAATAGGACCTACACATTTATTTATAAATTCTTAATCACAAAAGAATTTTTTTTAAAAAGCCTACACCTTTATTAATTCAATATTCGTTAGGAAAATGAAAAATGGGGCCTGCACATTCATTAATTCAATATTCAATTTATCAAAAAGATTTTTTTAAAAGACAAGACCTACACAATTAATAATTCAATATTAAATTTATTTTAAAAGATAAGGCCTACTCATTTATTTTTATTAATTCAATATATTCTGTTAAAAATAGCAAAATAAAAGATAGGGCCTATACATTTATCAATTCAATATAAATAATAATTTTTAAAAAATTAGCCTACATATATTTATTCAATATTCGATTCGTTCAAAAAAAGAGAAAGAAAAATGGGGCCTATACATAAAATTTATTAGGTCTAATTCATTTATGTCCCTGACACATAAATACCTCCTTCAGGAAGATGAGAAGCCTTTCTCGGATGCAACAGATTTTACCGTCACTCATTTTTTTAACAGAATGTCAAAACTTCGGAGAGGCCCGAAGGAAATATTTTTAATGCAAAAAAATTATAAACAGGGAGGGCCTACACATTAAAAACAAACAAACAAACACCAAGACAGGAGGGTCTATACATTTATTAATTCAATATTCATTCAAAAAAAGAAAAGAAAGAAAGATGGGGCCTACACATAACAATTTGTACATTTATTTATTAGCTTTATGGAAAATAAAAAATAAATTACAGCTAGTGGAGACGGTTGGAAAATAATAAAATTAAATACTGCTAGTGGGGACAGTTGGAAAATAGAAAATAAATTACAGCTAATGGAGATGGTTGGAAAAAAAATACAGTTACAATGTAGTGGAAACGGTTAGCAATATTATATAATAAAAAATTGTAAAATACATCTTGTGGAGACGGTTGGAAAATATTTTTAAAAAACAAAGAGTAAACGGTTGTAAAATACAGCAAGTGGAGACAGTTGGAAAATATCAAATAAAGTACAGCTAAGGGAGATCGAGATGGTCAAAAAATACAAAATAATACACTGCTAGTGGAGACGGTTGGAAAATAGAAAATAAAATATGTGTACAGCTAGTGGAGACGGTTAGAAAAAAAAAGAAAAATACAGCCGGTGGATACAATTGGTAATTAGAAGATAAAATACAGCGAGTGGAGATGGTAGGAAAATACTATGAAAATACAGCTAGTAGACGTTTGGAAAATAGGGTGGAGACTATTTGAAGACAGGAAATAAAATACAGCTAGTGGTCTCAGTTGGCAATTAAGTGGAGACGGTTAAAAAAATAATAAATAAAATACAGGTAGGGGAGACGCTTTTAAATGGTAGGAAAATATTTTTCAAAATTCAGCTAGTGGAGACGGTTTTAAAACAAAATAAAAAACAGGTAGGTGAGACGGTTTTAAAATAATAAATAAAATACAGCTAGTGTAGACGATTTTAAACTATAAAATAAAATACAGCTAGGGCAGACAGTTGTAAAATAACAAATAAAATACAGCTAGGGGAGACGGTTTTAAAACTGAAAATAAAATACAGGTAGGGTAGACGTTTGGAAAATATAGAATAAAAAACTTGCTAGTGGAGACAGTTAGAAAATATTTTTTTAAAATATATACATTAGTTCGTGGACACGCTGGGAAATATTACAAAACAAAATACAGTTAGTGGAGGCGTTTCAAGTTCAATATAAGAAAACAAAATACAGCTAGTGGAGACGGTTAGAAAATATAAAATAAAATTCAGCTAGTGGAGACGGTTTTAAAACAGAAAATCTGAGAAAATAGAATACAGCTAGTATAGACGGTTTTAAACTCTAACATAAAATACAGCTAGGGCATACGGTTGTAAAATAGAAAATAAAATACAGATAGGGCATACGATTATAAAATAAAAAATAAAGTACAGCTTGTGGAGACGGTTGGAAAATATGAAGTAAAATACAGCTAAGGGAGACGGTTGTAAAATGTAAAAAATTATACAGGTACATGTATTTGAAACGGTTTTAAAATACAAAATAAAACACAGCTGGCGGAGACGGTTGGAAATTATAAAATAAAATACAGGTATTGGAAACGGTTTTAATTAAAAAGAAAAAGAAAATACTGCTATTCGAGAGGGTTTTAAAAATTTAATAAAATACTGGTAGGGGAGACGGTTGGAAAATATAAAATAAAATTCAGCTAGTGGAGACATTTTTAAAACAGAAAATAAAAAACATGTAGGTGAGACGGTTAAGAAAAAATACAGCTAGTGTAGACGGTTTTAAAATATAAAATAAAATACAGCTAGGTCAGATGGTTGTAAAATAGAAAATAAAATACAGCTACTGTAAACGGTTGGAAAATAGAAAATAAGATACAGCTAGTGGTGACGGTTTTAAATTATAAAATAAAATACAGCTAGTGGAGAGGGTTGGAAAATACAAAATAGAATTCAGCAAGTGGAGACGGTTTTAAAACAGAAAAAAAAACAGGTAGGTGAGACGGTTTTAAAATAATAAATAAAATACAGCTAGTGTAGACGGCCTATAAAATAAAATACAGCTAGGGCAGACAGTTGTAAAATGGAAAATAAAACACAGCTAGGGGAGACGGTTTTAAAACTGAAAATAAAATACGGGTAGGGTAGACGTTTGAAAATATAAAATAAAAAACTTGCTAGTGGAGACAGTTGGAAAATATTTTTAAAAATATACATTGACATGTAGTTCGTGGAGATGCTGGGAAAATACAAAACAAAATACAGTTAATGGAGGCGTTTCAAAATAAGAAAATAAAATACAGCTAGTGGAGACGGTTTTAAAACAGAAAATAAAATACACGTAGGGGAGACGGTTTTAAAATAAAGAATAAAATACAGCTAGTGTAGACGGTTTTAAACTATGAAATAAAATACAGCTAGTGGAGACGGTTGGAAAATATGAAGTAAAATACAGCTAAGGGTTGTAAAATACAAAAAATAATACAGGTATTCGAAACGGTTTTAAAATACAAAATAAAACACAGCTGGTGGAGACAGTGGGAATTTATAAAATAGAATAAAGGTATTGGAAACGGTTTCAAAAAGAAAAAGAAAATACAGCTAGTGGGGACGGTTTTAAAATAGAAAATAAAATTCAGATGGGGCAGACGGTTGTAAAAAAGAAAAGAAAATATTGCTACTGTAGACAGTTGGATAATCGAAAAGAAAATACAGCTAGTGGTGACGGTTGGATAATCGAAAAGAAAATACAGCTAGTGGTGACAGTTGGATAATCGAAAAGAAAATACAGCTAGTGGTGACAGTTCGAAAATATGAAGTAAAATACTGCTAAGGGAGACGGTTGTGAAATAAAAAAATAATACAGGTATTCGAAACGGTTTTAAAATACAAAATAAAACACAGCTGGTGGAGACGGAAGGAAATTATAAAATAGAATACAGGTATTGTAAACGGTTTTTAAAAGAATTTAAGAAAATATGGCTAGTGGAAAGGGTTTTAATAGTTTAATAAAATACAGGTAGGGGAGACGGTTTTAAAATAAAGAATAAAATACAGCTAGTGGATACGGTTTTAAAATAGAAAATAAAAAACATGTAGGTGAGACGGTTTTTAAAAAATACAGCTAGTGTAGACGGTTTTAAAATATAAAATAAAATACAGCTAGTGGAGAGGGTTGGAATTA